AAAAACAAAAAGGGCAATCTCAGAGTGCAAGATAATGTTCCTGATGTGTTTATCATGAGCCAGCATAGCGCTGTGTCTGTTATTTGTACATACACTAATACAAAAGGGAAGATAATATTTAATGTCTATGATTAGCTTTTTATTATTCAAAATTGGGAATAGCTCTCTGAACCCCATGGGGAGGAGTAGGGCTATTCTTATTCTTACATAGAACATATTAGTGTGAGAACTATGCTTTCAACCAGTCAGAAAGCACAATGCCCTGGCCATGATGGAAAGATCAACAGGGACAGTTTCCAGATGCTGTACCTGCCATGGCTTGGTTAGGGTTCCATCTCCACAGGGCATATCACTGTGTCTTCTCCTCCAGACAAACCCTATACTCTCTTGCCCTCTAGGCAATGGTAGACTTGGCCTCCACCAGCATCTGCTAGAGATAAGCTGACAGAGCTGGGGAACTTTATTTCTTTGTGTCTAGTATAGCTGTGCCCCATCTGAAGGGACAGCCAGGGGCCCCATGGTCCACTAGGAGATAAGGAGGGAGAGAAGAAAGTGGCATCTTCCCCTCCTCTTCCCATCCACTCTTGCTCTGCAAGCTATATTACCCTTCTCATGTTTAAGGCAACTCCTCTCCTGTGCTTGACCCTGCTGAAGCAGGGAATCCCCAGAACCCAAGAATCCCTCTAAAACAAAAAAGGGGTCCAGCTACAGGGCCCTCAGAACACCTTCATCTTCACTAGGTCCCTTTAGTAGCTCCAGGCTCAGTAAGACCCAGCAGGGAGTCCCACCCATTCAGAGAAGCTAGCCTTCCCCATCACAGCCCTTTCTCCATCTTCCTAGCTTGATTTCTTGCCTTGTAATTCTACTGTTTTGAGGAAGCAGTTACTAATGATAGTAATAGCAACAGCTGCTGACCAGTGAGAATAGCAGGCAATGATTCTGAAAACAGACCCAGTACATACAGAAAAGCAGATCAAGGGATGTGCTCACCCCTCGCCACCCCCACCCCCTCAGCCTGCAATTTCTGCATCATTAACATTCTTGATGACATTAGGTAGAAAAGAACTTCAGACAATTAGAAATCAAAGCCATAGGCTTGGTGGATCTGCTCCAGAATAAATGAACACTTTCTCGCCGCATTTCAGGTGATCTGTGCTTTGCAGGACATGGATGAAGTTTGTAACACTGTTCTCAGCTCTGAGAGGTCCATCACCAACTTGAAATGTAGATGACCACATCACTCACTGCAGACCCTGGCGTGGAGGCCCAGAGGACAAATTCTAGAGTCATCTTAAGCTAGATTTTTACCCTGGTTCTAGCTAGTGGCAAATTACTCAACTTAATTAACTTCTCTGTGTCTCACTTTCTTTATCAGTATAATGGGAGAAGATAGTACTGTTAAATCAGAGACCAAGGGAGTCCCTAAGAGATAGTACCATTCGGGAGTTTGTAGGACAGCCAGCTTCACACTGTGCTTAAAGAAAGCTCTTAAGTTTTCAGGTTGACTGCAGAACTCTGTGAAGTGTGATGGTTGATATTGACTGCCAACTGGACAGAATCTAGGAACCAATTCTCTGGGCATGTGAGAAGGAGTTTCTAGATTGGCTTAAGCAGAGTGGGAAGAGCCACACTAAATGAGCTGGAAAACTAGACTGAATAAACAGGAGAAAGTGGCCTTCCTGTTCTGGAAGACTAAGGACAAAGTGAATCCCATTGGCTAGAGCTGGTCCTTGGCTTGCTCATGCTAAGGACACTTGTGGGGTACCAGGTGTGTGCCAGGCTCTGTGACGCATAACAGGACAGGCAGCCCCTGGATCAGAGCATCTATGACTGTGGTGAAAATCAAAGACACCGGACACTCTAAGCTAGCTCAGTTCAACTCTTCTAGCAAGTAGAGCCCCAGAAGCCCACATTAGCTAATATTTCATTCCTATTCTGTGTGAATAGTCCTGGGCATGTGTAGCATCCCATGGAATCTTCTGAGCTCACACTGAGGCCTCAGCTATTGCAGTTAAACAAGAAAGTATAATGGAGCACTTCTGGCTCCAGCAAGTCCCAGGCTTGAGCTGCTACTGCTGCTGCTATTACTGTCAAGAGGACATAAAAATGGCCCACCCCAATTACACAGCCTGTAATGGGCTAGGTGTGGGGCCCCAACTAATCTGACACTGAAGTCCTTACTTCTGCCCACCTACTACACATAGCAGGCAAAACAGCAGGCTGGAGGTAGGGGAGTCAGGCAGATAGGGCCTGCTACCCGCTAGCTGTGTAATCTTGGCCAGATCACTTTGCCACTCTGGACTTCAGCTCATAAATCTAGACAAGGAGAATCATACTAGCATCCATCTCCTTGGGTATATCTTGGGATTAAGTGATGTAAGGCCTGAAGGCGCTCAGTAAGCACCTAATAGTAGCATCTGCCATTAAAAGAGCAACCAAGGACATAATGGACAAAACATGAACTCTACTCAGGGAGAAGGGAGGTAGGTTGACATAGGGTTAGGGTCACCTACAGGTCCTCTCCTCACACCTGTCAATACACTTTGAAGGGATAGCTGTTGCTAGTGGGAACTTTTACCAGAGTGTATGTTTCTCTCTGCTTAACTGCACAAAGGTCAACTGGAAGTCTCCAAGCATCCTGGTACTCTAAGGATTCCAAGTAGACCAACGATTATTTCTGGGGCTGTGGTGGTTTGGATAAGAATGTCCCCCATGGGCTCCATATGCTTGAATAATCAATCAGTCCCCAGTTGGTGGAACTGTTCATGAGGGGTTAGAAGGTTTAGGCTTTCCTGAGATTTTTGGTGCTCTGCCTCTGCTCCACGGATCTGTATGTGCACTCTCAGCTGCTCCTGACCCCATAGCTGTGCTCTACCTTCATGGACTCTAACCCCCTGGAACATAAGCCCAATTAAACACTTTCCATTATAAGCTGCCTCGGCCATGGTGTTTGTCACAACAATCGAAAAGCAACTAATACAGGGGCCATGGGTGCCCTATAATGTAGCATTTGTAAGTTTGGAATGGCAGAGGTGAGCTTTCATTCTGCAACCTGCACAAAGAGAATAGAAGGTACCACCAGGTATACACACACTCAATGCTGTTTTGCATACCACAAACTGGGGGACAGGAGGCATGGGGCTGGGGTCACTGTAGTTTGACTCTAAAATATCCCTCATAGACTTACATCTTGAGCATTCTGCCCCCAACTTACAGCACTATTTTGAAAGCTGTAGAGTAAGTATGTAAAGCTTGATGAAGGAGTAGGCCACCAAGGCAAGCTTTGGAAGGTTATATGCAGCCCTGGTTCTTATCTAGCTCTCTTTGCTTCCTGGTCAGCCACGATGTTAACAGCCTCTTGGCCTGGCCCCATGGTACCGCAGATGGAAACAGCTCTGCTGTCATACCTTCCGCACCATGATGGCAACCGTGAGCCATAGTAACCCTTTCTGTTTTAGATCGTCTCTGTCATGCCACAGCAATAGAAAAGCTGAGTAACAGTGGGTTCAAGGCAGGCTGCAACCAAGAGACAAGGCAGTCCTGTGTCTCTCGGCTGAGTTGCTCTGCTCCACCCTTTCACTGAGTCAATGTCATTACTTCTTGCCATTGTTTGGGGGAGTAAATATCAATGGCCCTCTCATCAGATCCCACACAATAAATCTCATGTTATTAAAACGGCGGAGCCTTTGCTCAAAGCAAGAGGCGAAGCCATGCGACTCTCCTATGGAGAGATGGGCCACTCTTTGTTGATGGGGGAGATGATGAGTCACCACCACCTGCAGCTAGTTCTCCTGATTCTTTAACAAGCCACTCATCAGTGTGACTAATAATTGCCTTTTGAGATAAATGTTTAAAATATCACTTCCTACCACAGGCACTTTCAAAGTTCAAGGGTATGTTGGGCTGTCAGTAATAGAATGTGCACATATAGAAGTATCAGAGAATAACACTGGGGACCATGTGAGCTGGAGGGCCTGCCACGGTGGGCTGGACTGGTGTACTTGGGCATGCCATACTGGCTGTTTCTGGCCAGTACTTAGAGACTACACTCGCTAGCAAGACCAAGGACAAACATAGGCTTCACCTTTCCCTCTTCCATCACCTCAGAGCAGGAGGACAGATGTCCCAGCACCAACTCAAAGCCAGGCTAATGCCCACACATTTCATTAAATCTTTGCAGCATCCATGAGACCTGGGGCTTTAGAGAGGAGCCACCATGGCCAGAGTTTTCATATTCTGTAGATGCCTTACTGGGGTAAGTCACCATGCTTTGAGTCTGGCATCTGGACCCTTGTAGGCTTGGAAAATTCCAGATCAGAATATAGAGAGTCAGTAGACTTCTCAGGGATAGACTCAAGTTCAAAAGCAGGCACTACCAGGTACTGGGACCAGAAGAAGAGAGACATCCAATTGGCCACAAGCACAGCATCTTGCTGCAGATGAGCTAAATACTCAAAAGTCCTAAAGGTCAATGTGGAATCAGAAAGGGGGCAGAGAAGGACCACACCAACTCAGAAGACTCCAACTCCAGCCTGTTTCTGGAGTCTCAGCCCAGGAATCACCTTCTACTGGAAGCTTCTCTGGCCTCAAGCCCCATCTCTGCTACCAAGGCTGAATCCCGTATACCCTGTGCTTCCACAATGCATAGTCCCACCATGGAACTGGCCCCAAACTGCCTCATGGCCTTCACAGTCACTGCAGGAAGCTGCCTACCTGGCCAGATGGTCCTCCTTTAAGACTATGATTGTGCCTTCATCCTCCCGTGACCTCTCCGGCTGCACATAGGAGGTCTCAGAAAGAATGCATATATCTTTAGGCCAGGACAACTCAGCAGCCAACTCAGGTTTTCTTTTCTAAGCCATGTGCTGCTATCAATCCTCTATTTGTTCTCTTTGAGTTCATATTCTTGCAAAATTATAAACACACAGCAGTGTCGCCTTCCCAAGATCATACTCAGTCACTATTAGCTACTTTTCCCATTGCTGCAACAAAATACATACCCAAAACAATTTAAAGGCTGCTTTTGTCATACAGTTGAGGGAGGACACAGTCCACCACCACGGTCCACCGTGGTGGGCGGTCATAGCAACAGGAGCACAAGGTCATATTGCATCTGTAATCAGGAAGCAGAGAGAGATAAAGGGCAATGCTTGGCTCACTTCTTCGGTTTCTTTTTTATTCAGTTGGGGACCCCAGGCAATGGGAAGGTGCCACCCAGTTCAAGTTGTGTCCTCCCCTATCTGTTAAACTTCTCAGGAAATGCCCTGGCAGGCACACCTAATGATGTGTCTCCTAAGTGACTCTAAGTTTGGTCAAGTTGACAGTGAAGATTAAAAGTTTCTGAAATTCTGGCCATGCAGTCCTGTAAGATCTATGCCCTTCCCCCATCCATGGCCTGCACTGTGCAATTCAGTGTTTATCTCAGAGGGCAGGCAACCAAGGTGTCAAAAGGCCAAGGGTGGTTGAACAGGCTGCACCTCCCTATGCTGGAATATTGGTGCAGTTCACAGAATAGCACACACAAAGCCTCTTAAGTACACCAGAGGAGAGCTTATGCTATGATACCAATGAGAAGAAAAAGTTGGTGGGTAAAATTTTATGGGCAATACATGGTTTTAGCTATTTGAAGAAAGGGCAAAGATAAAGCATTGAGGAATAAACATACGAAACTGTTATGTAACGATTTCTATGTGGTAGGATAAGTGATTTCTCCTATTTCCTTATACATTTCTGGGCTTCCCAATCTATAATGAGTATTATGCTGCTTTTATAATTAAACAAAAATGATAAACTTTAAGGAAAAGTGCATGCATAGAACATTGCCATTTCTCTAAAAATACACTGCTATTTAATTATGCATCCTAGGATTGATTTTGTTTTGTAGGTCATAGAAAAAATAACTGGATTAAAAATCAAGCCCCTCCTCCATAGCTAATGAAGGTCTTGAGTGTTTCACTTCTGCCTGGGCATCCCCGCCTGCCGCCCCCCCCCCCCCCCTGCCGCCACTGCCCCCAGCCTCCTTCCACTCTTCTCACCCAGATGGTGGTGTAGCCACCTCTGGTTATCACAAGAGCTTTGCCCTGGCTTCACAGAGGCTTCCTTCTCTCCCATTTGGAATGTTTGATGAAGGAAAACCACTCAAGCGGCTTCTGATGAATAATGAGACAATTACCAGGATGACTTCAAACCCTTTACCACCTAGATGAGACTTTATGCAATGCCTTACTATGTGGTAGATGGTTTGTTTGACCTCATTTTACTGAGATGAGATTCGTATAACACAAATAAACCATGGGAGCGGGGCTGGAGATCGCTCAGAGATTAAGAGCACCGGCTGCTCTTCCAAAGGACCCACAAGTGATTCCCAGCACCCACTAGTGGCTCACAACTATCTGTAATTCCAGTTCTGGGGAATCTGACACCCTTTTCTGGCCTCCAGAGGCACCAGTCATGTACAGGTATACATACATATATGCAGACAAAACACCTACACACATAAAACAAAAAAAATAATCTTTAATGGAAAGTTCAGCTGAGTGTGGTAGTACACATCTATAATCCCAACAGCCTAGAAGTTGAAGCAGGAGGACTGCTGGGAATTCTAAGCCAATTTGGAATGTATAGTAAGACCCTGTCACAAAAAAAAAGGAAAGAAGGAAAGGAGGAAGGAAGGAAGGAAAGAAGGAGGAAGGAAGGGAGGGAGGGAGGGAGGGAGGGAGGGAGGGAGGGAGGGAGGGAGGAAGGAAGGAAGGAAGGAAGGAAGGGAGGAAGGAAGAAGGAAGGAAGGAAAAGATAGGAGGGTGGAAGGGAGGGAGGGAGGGAGGGAGGGACATGGAGGAATGGAAGAAGGAAGAAAAGAAGGAAGGAAGGAAGGAAGGAAGGAAGGAAGGAAAAAGAAAGGGTTGGAGAGATGGCATGGTGATTGAGTACTGCTGCTCTTCCAGAGGACACAGGTTCAATTCCCAGGACCCATATAGAGACTCATAATAGTCTGTAACGCCAGTTCCAAGCAGATCCAGTGGCCTCTTTTGACTTCTGTAGTCACTGTGCACACACAGTACATGGAAAAGGAAAGTTCGATAGCATCCATTACATTTACAATGTTAGGAAACCACCAACTGTACCTAGTTCCATATTTTTATTACCCCAAAAGGAAATCCCAGGCTATGATTTGAATGTAGCTTATCCTTACCAAAACGTTGATGTTTCTCATTCCTCAATGTACTGATACTGAGATGTTGGGCCTTTAAAGAAGATAATTAAGTCACAGAGGGAGGCACTGCCCTTGGGGTGGATTAATGCTGCAGTCACAGATGGGATGAGTTTGCACAAGAGCAGATCAAAGAACATACAAGGACCCTCCCTGCTCTTTGCTCCCTTCCCTACCAACACCAGTCCCTTATTGTTGGAACTTTACAGCTACCAGAATCATGAAGTAAATAAGACTTTATTATTTACACAGTTCCAGCCTCACAAAGTGGACTAAGGTGATGTACATCAATAGAGCAATTGCTCCCCACTCCCTTCTACACTAAGCCCCTGGCAACCACCAACCTGCTTCAAGCTCTATGAATTTACCAATTCTGAAGATTCTCAGAAATACAATCACTCACTATGTGACTTTTGAATCTGGCCTTTTTCACTTAGCATTCATACACATTGCAGCAAGTGTCGGGGCTCCATTTTCAGCTATTGTAATACTCCATTGCATATGCATGCCTAATGTCGTATTCATCTGCTTATCTATTGGTGGATGGGTGGGTGGTTTCTACCTTTTGGGTTTGTGAATCACTGATCTGAGCATATGTGTCCATGGATTCATTCTTATGTGGCGTGAATAAGCTGAGACTTGAGACTAAAGCTCTGGGTTCACTCTCTAATGGCTCCCATCTGCTCTAGACCTCACATGTCCAAGAGACGATTTTCTATGATCCAAACCAGGATAGTTTGTGAGCAAACCAGCAAGATGAAGAGATGCAGATTCAGAAACAGCCAGCCAGGACTAGAGGAGGTGGATTCCAGAAGCAAATTAGCAGGAGAAAAGGGGCACATGCCAAAAGAGTAATTATGGCTGCGCATCCCTGGGAGTCTCATTTAATTAAGCAAAATGATGGCAACACAATTAGCCACATCCTATCTCATGCTACTTCCTATTTTTGTCTCCAACTAGTTTTCATTTGTGTCTCTCTAGCTCTGGCTGGGACCTCAGATGTCTACAGGGACAGACTGCCACTCAGCTCAACTGACCACTGACTCTCAGGGTCTGTCAAAGAATTGATATGTATGAGCAAAGATGGACAGGAAAACATGCCAGGTCTAAGAACCCACCCCTACCTGTGTTCCTGACCATGCTGGCCAGACAGGTACAAACTAGGAAGAGCAGGTCAGAGAGGAACTGACCATGTTGGTTAGCAGTCCAGACTCTGGAACCAGAGTATATCTGACCTAGTACTGAAAGCTGGCTTATTTCTCAGTCATTATGCCCTTGTCCAAGACCACCAAGCACCCAGGCTCAACTTCTCAAATATCACACTAGAGACAGAAAAAAGAACCAGTGTCACATGCTTGCCATATTCAATCCCTCAAAGTCATCTGATTCCTTTGACTCCATCCCATCCCCACCATATAGCCATTGCCTATTTGCCTCCAGCAAAGCCCCACTAAGTGCTGAGAGAACAAAAGTGAAGGAAGAAAGTCCTCTGCCCTCACTTCATAGCACAAGGATGTCTGTCACAGGAACTCCCTCAGATGTTTGTGTCAGTGGCGTTCCAAACATCTGAACTCAGCAAATGAGAGGCAGGCAAGGAATCTAAACAGCCCAAGCTCTGCATCCACATGAATGTGTAAGGGCAGGGCATTGTAGTACTATGACACACAGAGAACAAGATGGCCAGATGAAGCAGAGAGGACACATGGTCACATGACCATCTTACTCTTACAGTGTTGTGGTAACATGCAGCACTGGTTTTAATAAAACCAAGCTGTGATCTCAGGGTGACTGTCAAGTCCCATTTCTTCACAGTGTCGTGTTCTGCAAAGCTTGGGTCTCTTGATCTTGTCAAAGTATCAGAGTTTCATCATCCCTTAGTGTATATGGAAGACTGGTTTAGGAACACCCCACTGCCATTACCAGAATCTGCTGATCCTCAAGTCCTTCATGTAAAGTGGTAACAGTGGGAGAGGGGGAAATATGATCAACATACATTTAAATGCTTGCATGGAAAGAGCCTTAAGTAACCCAGTTAATATATAAAATAAATTAAAACAAAACAGCATTAAATTTGCTGATGTCCTACATACATCCCCCATCATTCATCTCTACATTACTTACAATATCTAATACAATATAAATGCATGTAACTAGTTATGCTGTTTAAGAAATAATGATAAGACAGTCTATATCAGTGGTTCTCAAGTGGTTCTTCATGTTGTGGTGACCCCCAACCATTATTTTCATTACTACTTCATAACTGTAGTTTTGCTACTCTTATGAATCACAATGTAAATATCTGATATGCAGAATATTTGATATGTGACCCTTGTGAAAGGGTGGTTTGGCCATCCAAAGATGTTGTGGCTCACAGGTTGAGAAACACACACACACACACACACACACACACACACACACACACACACACACACATGTATATATGATGAAAGTTTTTTCATATATTTTCTGTGCACAGTTGGTTGACTCCATGAATGGGAAACCTGTGTATATGATGGCTGGCTGTGTTATGGTCTGGCTTGCCCAGGAATCACAGGGCTATGAGAACCTTGCTGGCTTCATGATCTCACAGTGTGATGTGCCAGGAAAGTGTGTGTGACGCTGTCTCCCATGCCACATTGTGACCTTGTTCTCATCCATTTCCTCCTGAAATGCAGAGATAGCTCCACACATTGCACAGAATTCTCCAGTCACACAAGCACCAAGAGTCCATCATTATCTGGGAGGCCTAATCACCATCATCTTAGCTCTGCCTCTGGTGTCTGTCAGGTACCCCTTGAAGCTTGCCACCTGTCCATTTACTCAGGAGGAGGCAAGGCACAGCTCAGAGCCTGCAGGATGAACGTCACACGGCATCAACAGATCCGGGTGAGTCCAATTCAGCT